TATTTTTTGTTGTTTTTGTTTTATATTTTTGCATTATTGATGTATACGTAATTGACATATAAAGTTGTAAGGTATTTAAAGTGTATACCATGGTGATTTGATATGCGTATAAAGGATTGTGAAAGGATTCCCTTGTCTACTTAACACATCCATTACATTTATCTTTTGCGTGTGTGTGTGTGTGTGTGTGTGTGAACATATAATAAGTTCTAACCTCTTAGCAAATTTCAATTATACAATACAGTTTTATCAACTACAATCACCATGTTTTGCCACGTTTTATCACCTTAGACTTTATTCATCTTATCGCTAAGAGTTTATATGTAAAGGAATACAATTTTAACTGTAGACTTCCAGTCATCAGACACTGTGTGTGTGTGTGTGTGTGTGTCCATATATGTAAGTGTGTGTGTAAGTGCGTTAGTGTGGCACAGAGCATTCCCCTCACCCCTAAAATCATATGCAATGTAAAGGGAACTTGCATTAGCTGGGTATAGGGTTGACACACCCCACAATCCTGGGCGTGTCAGATGCCACTGAACATATGCTGGATTTCTCCCAAAGAAAGCAGACAGATAGATACCTGCCTTCAAATTGCCTCAGTCAGCCTGGGCTTTGGGCTTAGCTCTCCAGAAAACACTACAAGTCTTTGGTACCTTCATGATTTTCATGTGTCTTAGCACAGTACTTTTCTTGCCACCCCCAGAGAAAGTGTTGGAATAGGCTCTTTAGAGAAAAATCCTCTCTCTCCATTTTGTGCTAGAAAGGAAATAAAGCAAAATCCGGTACTGCTCCCTAGGCATGTGGCTCTGACATTCCTTTGATATGAAGGTAAATATATTCCACCAGGGAGACAGAAACTGAAGGACTCAGTTTCTCAGGGAGAGAAACTCAGGGAGAGGCAGAAGGCCCCTTTATAAGCCTGTCCCCAAAACAGCTATGGAAGATTCCTAACTGGGGAATCGTGAGAGCATATCCTAAGAGGATAGTCTGTGCTTTCTCGTAGTAGGGCCATCTCCACCATCCTGCATCTGCACATCTTT